TGGGCAATTCAAAGCCACTAAAAGACTAATTAGCTGCAATTCCCGCCATACCACTGCGTACTGCCAAACTGTAAACTACGCACTAGTACCCGCTACGCACACCATAACCCATACAAATTGACGCGCAGATACAGAACTTCCGATCTCAGTAGCCACAACAGAAAAACGTTCTTCCTATCCACCACCTCGCATGACAAGAAAACCCTTCTTCCCCCTAAAAAATCAAAAGCAAACCCGTCCCACAAACAAACCCAAAATATGCCTTCCTCATTACCCCTACCATCGCCTGACCTACATGATGCGACCTCACACAACTATATACAATGGCGCTTGCCTGCTTCGCTATCGACCGCAGCACTTCATGCGACCTCACTGGCAATACGGGACTTTCCCTCTCTTGCTTACTATGCACTCGAAGCACGCGATCTGTTACCATCCTATCTCTTTCGCCGCATCACCAAGACATGGCATCTACTACCCGTGGACACGAACTGACACTCCATAACTGAACATTGGTGAGCTCACACCTAACACACACTCAGGCAGAAGTGCCGCGAGCGCTGATTGCTGCAGAAGCTACTTCTACAGTCAAGTGCCGATGGCTTCACCCGGGGATGCCACATCCTCTCAAACGTTCCATCTTCAGGTAAGATGATAACTCCCTTTGAGTGTCTGTTGCATCATACACCCTAACTCTCTGCCCCTCTATAATCTAATCTAAAGAGAGACCATAACCTGACCCTCTGATGAGCTGCTATGGGTGCTAGGCAGCGAAAAGCGCGCTTCAGGGTGTGCACCCACCCTATGGCCGTCTCCAACAGCCATCTCTAGCATCAGCCTAACCTCTAATTTGATCTCTCTCTCGCTCTCTCTCTCTCCCTCTCCCCCCTGTGATCCTCCTATGGAGTTGATAACCACCCTCTGACCCATGCCATGTTCAGCCTGTTGCCAACCTGGTGCGTTTTTACGTATGAACCATACTTGCGGCGCATTAGTGCGGTGCGTGATGCGGTGCGCTGTGCCGTGCGGCATGCGCGCGCGCACGCGCACGAGGTGCGCCGTGCGCGCAGCGCATGGGGAGGCGCTACCAGTGCAAGGTGCGCACTGTGCGCGATGCCTATTTCCGGTGTGTGTGTGTGTCTCTGTGTGTGTGTGTGTGTGTGTGTGTGTGTGTGTGTGTGTGTGTGTGTGTGTG